GTGATTGCATGTCTTTAGTTGTAAGTAGATTGAACCTTTTACTTATTTTTTGGTCCGCTCATCTTTCTTTAATGAATTGCTCATCCACATCCCTTTCCCATTTGTTATTGGGAGTTTTGTTATTAATTTATGAGGGTTTGGGCAATAAAGATATTAACTCTGTGAAGAAGGGCGAGGGAGAGAGAAATCAATTAATTACAGTGGAGCAGTGAGCAGGAAGGCCCCTCTGCTGTCATTTCTCTGCTCTCACCGCACTCATGACACCAGACGGGTGAGTTTTCCACACAAGTAGTTCTGACACTAACTGCCTGGAGTTGTGTAGACCCCACAAGTTAAGGGCTGTCCCCACTGAGATGCCAATCACAAATAGTGGGTCCCCAGGTTACCCACAACTTCTGTGTGACGTGGCTACAAATTAGAGATTCCCGCTACCCTCTTTTTGGGTTCGATAATTTGAGCGACTCACAGAACCCAGGAAGACAGTTTACTTATTATTGTTGATTTATTACAAGGGATGTCTGAAAGGATACAAATGAATAGCCAGATGAAGAAATATGCAGGGAGCACTCAGGAAGGTCCCGAGCTCAGGAGCTGCTGTCCTTGTGGAGTTGGGGTGTGGCACCCTCCCAGCGTGTGGATGTTCATCAACCTGGAAGCTCTCCAAACCCTACACTTTTGGAGTTTTCATGGAGGCTTCATCATGTAGGCATGATCAATTATTAACTCCATTTCCAGCCTGTCTCCCCTCCCTGGAGGACGGGCGATGGGGCTGAAAGTTCAAAGCTTCTAACCACAGCTTGGTCTTTCTGGTGATCACACCCTGTCTAGGAACCACCAAGAGAAATGTCATTAGAACAAAAGATGCTCTTATTACCCAGTACATTCCAAGGGATTTAGGAGCTCTGTGTCAGGAACTGGGGCCAGTGGTCAAAATATTAGCAGAAATCAGATATATATACATGTTATTATTTCACAAGTGATGAAATATGTGCCAAGTTATTTATTTCTTTGCAGAGCTCCAAATCGGCTATTGGGCTCACGTCTATGGTTTTATGACTGCCTATGATATGTATACTTTTTTCCTCTCTTCACAATATTTTCTGGACTCGTTAATATTTTCATGTATTAGGGCTCAGAAATTACTCTCTCTTGGTTATTTTCCTGCTGTTTAATATAATCAACTTTTATTTCCTCTCTTATAGATCTACCCATTTTGCAGATTAACTGCAGACTCAGAGTGGCTGGGGGGCTCGCTGTGTCTGCACAGCTATTGGGACTGTTGTTTGGGGAAGAAGGAAAACTGGGCCTGGGTGCTGGTCACTTGTGGCTATTTTTCTGTCTCACTGCGGATATAAATATGCATCTTTGCTACTGCTCTGAATATAGGGGGAATGTAAATAGCTTTCATACTGCCCAGTCAGCAGGTTTCCTGCTTCTAATATGCTTAGCAAAATTGCCCTGTTTTCTGGGCATTAAAAAGCAAAAATGCCAAAGGAGTGATGAACAAAGAAGAATTGATGGTTTGCATTGATGGATAAAGTCACTTGGGTTGTACATACACACATGTACGTGTGAGATTTGATGTGTGCTTGAGTGACATGATCACGTACAAAGGGCTGGAGGGACAAATTAAAGAAAATTTACTGCGTTTCTCTAGAAAGAATTTGACTCCAGAAATGGTTGATAAGGTATAGAATCTGGATGGAATGACAAAATGATAGCCAATTGGCTTCTCCTTTGTATCAGAATGAAGAGATCCCCATACTAGTAAGACTTTGCAAAAGTTCTCTATAACGTAGCATTTAAAATGGTTTTTGAGGGGCCAGCCCTGTGGCCGGGTGGTTAAGTTCGTGTGCTCTGCTTTGGCGGCCCAAGGTTTCGCCGGTTCAGATCCTGGGCATGGACGTGGCATCTAGACCATGCTGAGGTGGTGTACCACATCGCAGAACTAGAAGGAGGCACAACTAAAATATACAACTATCTACTGGGGGGCTTTGGGGAGAAAAAGGAAAAATAAAATCCTTAAAGTGGTTTTTGAAGAGCAAAAAAATTTTTTAATATTTTGCTGCCAGAGAATTAAGTTCTAAAAGCTGGCATTAATTTCAGTTTTATGTCAAGAGCCAAATGGATTAATAATGAAATATCAAAGGAAAAGTACAATCTCTCACTTAAATGTTTTTAATGATAATAATGACTTAAGACTTGATAAGAAAGCTGAAAAAGAATATTATTCCCGTCCTGCAGTTTTCATAATAAATGAAACTTTCCCATGGAGAATATAGTCTCCTTTAAGACAGGTTCAGGGTAGGGCATGTCAGGAAATGATTCCAACTTGATTAAAATTTTTCTTCATATATTCAGTCGGCTCCTTATCTTGATTTTTCAAGTAGAAAAAATGAGAATTTTAAGCCTTGGTAAAATGTTATGGAAATGTCAGAATCAGTAAACATTAAAAAGCCAAACTGGAGATCTAAAGCAGTAAGTGACAATTAAGAACCTTCCAGATTTGAGGCACGTAAATGTGCTAGCATACAGACCTCTGTGTGCCCAGCAGAGGACTCTCTTTGGTGCCCATGTCTTTTACATGCAACCTTCTCAGGAATATAACTACTGATTCACAAAGTATGTGTTATCTTTCAGTTACTTCTGAATTTAAAGTAGAAGGGACTGTGGTGTGTTTTGGTCCTGTTTTGTATTTCAAATATCAAAATTTACCTATACATTATGTTTTTATAACCAATTTTATCGAGGTAGCTGTATTCATTCACTACTGAGTATTCTTTAATTTGTTTGAACCATGTGGATAAAAATAAAAAGTTTATAGAGCAAAACAAGAATATAAAGTTATCCTTGCATAATGAGTGTGTGATATATCAGTATTTTGATATGAGTAATTTGATGTTTATTTCTCTCCAATATATTGGTTTTGTTTGAGCTATAGTTGTTCTCTAGACGAAAGTTTTTTATAAGGCATAGGCTTGGGCTTTATTTTGACTGTGATACTGAAATGCATTTACTTTGTGTAGTTTGCATAGCTGTTGCCCTGTATCTTTACGAGTTGTTCTTTTGTTTGTTTAAAGATTGGCACCTGAGCTAACATCTGGTGCCAATCTTTTTCTTCTTCTTCTTCTCCCCAAAGCCCCCCAGTACATAGTTGTATATTCCAGTTGTAGGTCCTAGTTCTGCTATGTGGGACACTGCCTCAGCATGGCCTGATGAGCGTGCCATATCTGCTCCCAGGATCTGAACTGGCAAAACCCCAGGTCGCCAAAGCAAGTGCGCAAACTTAACCCCTCGGCCATGGGGCCAGCCCCTACAAATTGTTCTTATTTTGTATTCTTCCTTATGTAGTTCTCCTGTTTTTAACGTTAGTGATTTTATTTTATTTTTTCAAAACGTACCTTGTCCTAATAACTCTGAGGCTGTCCTTTGCGATGGCACAAAGAATGTCCTACCCTAAAATGTTAATATTGGATGTTGGTAAATTAGCAAGATCACTTTACAAATCACATTATAAAGGATTTGGAGATTTAAAAATAGCATATCTCTTGTATTATAATCTAAAAAAAAATCTCTTACTGATAAATGCTATACTTCCAAAAATTATTTCATCTGAGTGAGATAGTTGAGATTGAGTGTTAATTTCCCAAACTCCTTTTAAAATTATTTTATCATGTTAATTTTGGTATTAGAAAATTTTAAAAATGTGTTGAGATACAAAGAAAAGAAACTGAAGTCTACCCACATTTCCGTTGCTCTGCAGTACACACTTTCATGTGTGCAATTGAAATTCTTGAAAAGCACAGTCTTCAAAGGATGCATTGTAATCCAGCCTAATTATGTGCCATTATATGTTTAACCATTCTTCCATTATAATTTGGTAACTCCAGCTTGAATGACTTGGTGGATGCTGGAGAAATATTTCAAACTTGAGAAAAAATGAGGCGGAAGAGCGTGTAGGACCAGATGACGCATTTCCTTGTGATCCAAAGAGCTTGTGCCACATGTCCATCATGTGCTTGGACATGCTGAGTTTGAGAGAGAATTCTGGCCTTGCCTATTTGGACATGACCAGTGTAGAGAGAGATCTCAGTGGTGGTCTTGGCCATGGGGGCACTCCTGAAGAGGAGCTCAGGGCAGGCTGCTGCTTCTCCTGGCCTACTGCATTTTTACTGACAGAATATTTCATCTCACTGAGTTTCATCAGGTTATACTTCACGCTTTCATTTCCTCCTTGCTGTTTTAAGGGAGATGGGCAAGTTTGGGTGTCTTAAATGTGTTGGGTTCTGGTGTACTTCTTATGCACTTGATGATTACAATTATGAAATCAAAGCTTGCCTATACAACTAATGGATTAAATAATATTGCTTGAGCAGTAGTCACCAGCTGTATTATTTATGTACAGTTTTGTTGAGAGTTTTCTCTGAAGTTGTTGATCTCCACTTTGTCTCGCCAACATTGAAGGTTAAAACTCCAGTGGCTCTCTGAAAATGACTACCTTTTTCTGCTGACTTTGTGTCATCAGGATTTGTTGTTTGTGAATAAAGTCATACAACATTAATGGACACTAAGCTGTTAATAATAGTGGAGATTCCTCATGAAAAAAAAGAGGCAAATGAGTTATATTTATTTATTTTGATTCCTGCTGTTACTGTTTTCCTCCTGTGGTTTGGAATATTTAAACTGACAAAAAAAAGTCTAAAACTCCAGGAGTCTACATGTCTTCAGTCCTTCCGCTATGGTTTTCTCCTATATTTCTCGCAATCTGATTTGGTTTTGTTTCACTATTGAAACAAATGCTGCATAAAAATATTACAGCTGGTTCCAGGAATCATCTGGAGGGGGTGCAGATGCCCAGTTATCGTGGATCTTGTCGTGGAACTTTGGTGGAAATACTGTGCCTGATATGATTAAAGAGCTGCTCATTAGCAGTCTTCAAAAATAACCGTGAGAAAGAAACATTGGAATATAATGTGCTGTGCAATTTTGTTTCCTATTAGAAAGCAGAAGACGAGGATATTGTTCTCACGCCTGATGGCACCAGGGAATTTCTGACGTTTGAAGTTCCACTTAATGATTCAGGATCAGCCGGTCTTGGTGTCAGTGTCAAAGGTAACCGGTCAAAAGAGAACCACGCAGATTTGGGAATCTTTGTCAAGTCCATTATTAATGGAGGAGCAGCATCTAAAGTAAGCAAATATCCACTTTATCAAGCTTGTGTCCGTTGCCAAAAGTGTTTAATTCCAATCTTATTCCTATATTGAAAACGTGCACACTGTAGGGGAGGCAGAACTTTACCCTCTTAGATTCTGTTTCTGCAGCCTGTGAATTAAACTGACAAAAGACAGATTAACAGGAGAAAAAGTTTACAAATTTTATTGATGTTAATATTTAAAATTTTACACATGGGGGCTCCACAGAGAAGATGTGAAAGCCTGCAGAAGTGGTTGGACTTGGAAGCTTATATACCTTTTAGCAAAGCGCAATGAATTGTGGCGGGATTAGACAAAGGAAAAGGAGTCCGGGCTTCTCGGGGTGGTAAATTGTGGGAAGGTAAATACAGTTGATTTTGTAAGGTTGATTGTGCAGACTGATCTCAGTGCCCTCTCCGTCTCTGGTGATGAGCAGCTCCCCTTCCTGGTTTGGGAGAGGGGAGGGGACACTTTCATATAAAGGAACTTCAAGCCCTGCGTTTAGCCCGAAAGGCAGAGAACAGAGAGCTCCTCCATGTCTGCCGTCTCTCAGTTGCCTTCAGCTCAGAATAATCCTGTGCCAATGTGGCGTATTTGGGGTAGCAATTCTAGCGCCCTGTAACACTTAGTCAATGTTTTCTCAAATACCTCATTCATGGTCAAACAACTAGCAGAAATCTCTGTGATTTCTCATTTTGGGACGGAATCTGTAGCTTCAACTTCCCTTTTTTTGTCTCACAAAATTTACAACCCAGTCATTCAGGCTAAAGGAAGATAATCTATGCAGACTTAGTTTAGGTTCTGGCACAGAGCTGTCATAGAGCCGAGGTTAATCTTTCCCCCGCCCCGTCCCCTGCCTGTGGGTGGGTTACCCCATTTCCCAGTCTAGAGAAAATTTCCCGGCTGTTGGTTAAGGGGCACTTCTCTGCGATTGTCTAATAGCCTTGAGCTTCCGCATGTCTTGGGTTGTAAATAACCTCTATGGGTGTCTCTGGAAGCGAGAAAGTAATCACTTTGTGTCCTTCGAATTAGTATGCTATTTTGGTAAACAGATTATGATAATGACTTGATTTACAAATGTATAAATGATTGAAATAGACAGAGGCTGCAATGGCTGCTTAGACACTATTATGCTGGTGCTCAATTGGGCATAATCCATTAGGATTAAAGCCTTTTTTCTTTTTCTTTGCTGTTTTTATTTTTTTTAACAAAAGAGAAAGCAACTTCTTTTATAACAGACTACTTAATAGCACTTATTTTTACCTGCTTTCTTCCCAGGATGGAAGGCTTCGGGTGAATGATCAACTGATAGCAGTGAATGGCGAATCCCTGTTGGGCAAGACGAACCAAGACGCCATGGAAACCCTCAGAAGGTCCATGTCCACCGAAGGGAACAAGCGAGGAATGATCCAGCTCATTGTCGCAAGGCGAATAAGCAAGTGCAATGAGGTAAAGAATACAAAATAAAAAGACAAAAGGCGCTGGCATTTGAAATAGTAGTAAGGCTAAGTTTCTGTCCTAACATTGGACAGAGAATGGCAGGTCCTGGGACGTCACCTCAGAAGCCTGTAAATCATCTTTGCTTGCTAGACTTTTATTGTTTTGTCAGCAGCTTGTGCTTTTTCTTAGTTTTGTGATCAAAATATTCCTAAGTGTGCATTAATGTTTCTATTGCCAACTCAGCACATAACACTGGCATCTTAAAGGCATGGTTAGCTGGGATCTTTTCTTGAAAATCCTCCTGCCCAGAGCCAATAGTTTCTCTTCTATTCAGCAGGGTAGTACCTGGGAGGGAGAAAGAATGAAACAATTGCTTATTCATTTGTTCATTTCAAATGGGATGCCTCTTACAAAGTCACTAAGGGGAGACTCTGTTTCTCCTGTGGCGTTGTCAAAAGTGTAAGCTCCCTCCATCACCCATCTCCCCCTTGTCCTTCACTGGGGTTTCATTTTTCCCCTTAAGTGCCTGCCTTCTCCGTGGTGTCTATTGCCGGGGCATAGTGCGTCTAAATATCCACTGCAGGAGGTAATTAGGTGTGAGTAGGCAGGCTGTCCTCTCCGGAGAGTATAATCATCTATTTTCCCAAATAAGTAGAAACATACCTTCTTGTATAGCACGGCATTTTAAAACTGAAAAGAAATTATATATAGATTTGATGATTAATATTGGAATCTGAAAAAAACACAAATTTTGTAGATCTATTATAAATTATGTACCATCTGTAGAAAATAGGTGGGACCTGATAATTTACAGAGCAAAGCTTGTTGAAAATGTAAAGTTTGTTGTTTTTGCTTTTATTGCTGCTCAGATCCCCACGTTTTTAAATCAACTAAGAGAAGATCACTAGCAAATCTTACAAACTGAAAATTGTATCTAACTTGTTTGTGTTTTTCTTAATTGTAAAATCTATGTTTAATAAATGTGTAAAGCAAGCTTTCCAGGTTGTGATGATCCTTCATCCAATCCTATAATATAATCAGATTTTGCAACAAAAAGGTAGTCTTGACCTCAGTGGGTCGTCAGTCTAGAGGTGACCAGTTTTTGAAAGGTTATTTTTTTTTTTTTTTAAGATTTTATTTTTTCCTTTTTCTCCCCAAAGGCCCCCAGTACATAGTTGTATATTCTTCGTTGTGGATCCTTCTAGTTGTGGCATGTGGGACGCTGCCTCAGCGTGGTCTGATGAGCAGTGCCATGTCCGCGCCCAGGATTCGAACCAACGAAACACTGGGCCGCCTGCAGCGGAGCGCGCGAACTTAACCACTCGGCCATGGGGCCAGCCCCTTGAAAGGTTATTGACCATTGATTTTTATTTTTTATTTTTTTGGTGAGGAAGATTTGCTCTAACACCTGTTGCCAATTTTCCTCTTTTTTTGCTTGAGGAAGATTAGCCCTGAGCTAACATCTGTGCCAGTCTTCCTCTGTTTTGTTTGTGCGATGCTGCCACAGCATGGCTTGACGAGAGGTGTAGGTCCACACCTGGAATCCAAACCTGTGAACCCAGACCAGCTAAGCTGAGCACGAATTTAACTACTATGCCGTGGAGCCATCCCCCCATTGATTTTTGTTTAATATTGTTTTTATTTTCCAAATGGAGAATGAGTTAACAATAATTCTCCAACATTTCTACAACAAGAAAACAATGTAACTGTAACTGAAAATCTCAGAGGGGAAAACAGTGGGGCACAAAAACATTGACTTTTACGAGATAAGTGTAAATGCTAGTCCCTCAGAGTAGGCTACTGGATTGGTTTTCTTGAATAATAATTTTACTGGTTGCCAAATCATTAACTGATCTTTTAACGTAAGTTCTGCAAAATCCTACAATAAAAAATTCTCAACAGTAAGTTTACAAGACACATTGGTCTTTATTGGATCTTTTTCAGAAACTGAATAACTTCACATTTCACAGAACGGTATTCATTTGGCAGATTTTTAGTGAGCATCCACTATATTCAGAAAATGTGTTAGATCCTGAGATACGGTGGTGCATAAAACAGATGGGGCCCTTCTCTCATAGAACTTACGTTCTACTGGACAATATATCATACTCTTGGTCTCTTTAAAAGCAAACTCAAATTTGTAACACTTTCTCAAAGTCTTCCTTTGGGGGAAAACACTGAATGTTATAGGGACTTAAAATGTAAGAAATGTGCTGAAGTTCAGCATCCCGAACCCAGACGTGCTTGCGTCACATTCAGATTATTCCGTATTGTTCTCCAAACAGTAGCGAAGCAAACCTGAACCAGCCTGAAAATGTTTTGATAAAAGCACTGATTCTGTTCCCTGTTGTCGCATAAAAGACATGAAATTGGAATCCCACTGAAATCTCTTTCTGTCCCATTCACTTCTGCGTGTGAATTTATGTGAATGAAATGATTTAAGTTGGGGAACAGCTGCGGTAGACAGTAATAGACTTTAATATTCAAGATTCCTTATGGTATCATTTTCATACATTGCTGGTTATTACTTTTTCTTAGGATAGAGTAAGCTTATAAAACGATTATATCAAAAAAATCTTATCATAAGTGCTGTGCTTTCTTTGTAATACTGGCGAGAAGCCTTTTGTACTGACAGGGTTTAACTAAAGAATTATATGAAGACAGAAGAGCTCGGTTCAGCTTCCCATAAGGCATAAGACATGATTTTGCTGCTCTTATTCTTACATTATATATTACCTCTGGAAAAACGTCTTGCTGAGTTACCGGAAGGGCATGTGTAAATTATGTTACAGTGAATATTCATATAAGCAGAGGGCATCTTGTCATGAATGACCTCAAGCCAAAATAATGTGCTTGAGTTCTCTCCTTCCGGGTCCGTTAGTTAGCTGTGTAGTCCGGTCTTTGATAGTACCTCAAAACTACATTTTAGTAACCCATCTTTAAATCAAGGGTTTGCTTACTTAATTTCAAACTAGAGAAACTGAGAATTTGCAAAAGAAAATCTTTAGTACTTTGTCATATCTTTCCTTGCCCTTATTTGTGCTGAGTGCTGTACATTATTTTAGTTTTTTTTAAATTTGTTTATCAAATCTCCATGCTAGGTACCGTCTTGCCGTGCGTTTCACAAGTATTTGTCTGTATACGGCACCGCACCTTTGAGACGTTCTCTGGAAGGTGTTTCTCAGTCTGCTTTACTTGCCCTTTCAGGAGTCTTTGAACAGTGGCTCATTCTTGAATCATTTCTGACTATCTTTCTCTCTCCGTTTTTCTCCTCCTCCGCTCTGGCTCTTCTCTCTCCTCGAAGCTTCCTCTTTCCTGCTATTCTGTTGGTCGTGTTTCTAGGCGTTCTTCGGGGCTGGTTCTTCTTACTCTGCGCATGCTCCCTGAGGGACTTCAGCCCCTGGTCTTCAGATGCCACCTGTTACGATGAATCCTGTAACTCTGTTCCCACCTCAGGACTCTATTCTAGTTCCAGATCCTTCTATCCACCTGCCCATAGAGATATTCACTGGTGTGTCTCTCAGGCACCTAATTCTTAAGGTGCCCAAAACTATTTACGCTTTTTCCTGCAAAACCAGTTCCGCCTTGAGGTACTTCATCTGCCCCGTTCCCCCTTCTCCCTGTAAGGGCTCCACCACTCCTTCGGCTGGAGAAGCCAGAGAGCTGGGATCGCTCTTGGCCTCTCAGATGGCTTTGCTATCCCCGTTGCCACTGCCTGCAGAATCTCTCTCTTCTCAGCCCACTTTTTTCCCCCACTCTGCCCTCGTCCAATTCCAGGCCCTGCCGTCTCCCCAGGCTCACTGCTGTGGCTCCCCGGAGGATTTCTCTGCAATCAGGATTTCTCTCTCACTCCCTTCTCTACCCTGCAGTCAGGCAGATATTTCTACAAAGCAAATCGATCATGTCACTCCCTGCTGAAACCCCTTCAGGAGCTTTGCATCCTCTCCAGGAGAGATGCCAGTCTCCATCACATGGTGCAATGGGACGTGCGAGAACTGGCATCTGTCCCCTGCAGCCTGTTCCCGTGCAGTCTCTGCTCTAGCTACTCTGCACTACGTGCAACTTCTCAGACGCATGCTGCTCTCTCTCCGCTGTAGGTTTCTTGCATGAGTCCAGTCCACCCCGTCCTAGCACAGACAGCCTTTGGATTTTGGTTTCTCTCTCTAAAGTGTTTCCATAGTCCCACCTACTTACCTTCACTCAGCACCATCACACTGTCGTGCTTCTCTCTTTGATTCTGTTTCCTGGGAACTGTAAATTCTGAGATGGCTGGGACCTCGGCCTCCTGCCATGCTCCTGTCTCTCTCCATCACTGGTGTCCAACCCAGGGCCTGACACTTAAACACGGACTGAATGACAAGGAAAATAATCCTGGAAAGTCTAGCGTTTTTAGAAGGAAAAGAGAATTTAATTACTATTGGAGGCTAAAGTTCTAAGGAAACCATCAGGCAAGGTAACGAAATGAATGCTTTTTGACAGTGGTTCTGGATTTGCGTAGCTTTTCTTGTATCTAATGCTCTTACTCAAGTAAATTTAAAAGCATTTCCTAATCAATAATCGTTTCTTTAAAAAAAAAGAGAGAGAGAAATGGCATCCCCTTGTTTTGTGCTCCTGAAAGATGGGGTTGACCTTTTTGGAGAAAATTCCTTAAGTCCCAGCATTCTTTTCCCTTGGGAAGAATACACAACGCAAGAGTCAGAAACACTGGTATTGCTTACCAAAAGGGAGACTTTGCTGAGGACTTTGAAGGTGAATGGAGGGAAATGGGAGTAAACACCGGATGTTGTTCCTGGAGTATTGAAACTAGCCTATATATGAGAATTATATTGATTTTAAATAGTGTAAGGAAGTGAATATTTGTAGAAATTACTGTAGTTTCACATAGCTTCCAGTTGTTTCATTATTCAACACATCTATGTTAGACGCGACTTTCTGTAAAGGCTTGTCTTGGTACCACAGAGCATGTGACAACAGGTGAGCTTTTGTCTTAGGCCGCATAGGAGGAGGTCTAAGGATTTATCATCAGGACTACATTAAAATGAGTTCTCTCTCTAGGTTTCTTCCTCTTAGAATTAGAAAGCCGTGTTAGAATTGGAAGGGGCCTAAGGTATCACTTAGGATTCTCTTCCTTTCGTATATTAAGAAATAAATGCGGAGAGGTCGAATGATTTGCTTAATGGCTGCAGGGCCAAGGTAGTGGCAAAGTAATTTAGAAGCAAGGTGTCCGTTCCTCTTGTGCGTGGGAGCGGGTCTAACTGCCTGTGGTCGTGTTGTTAAGGCAGTTTAACTTCTGGCTGTGCTGGGAGGTAGCATAGAATGAAAGCATGGGCTTTGGCCTCAGACAGAGTCAGTTGCATTCTGGGTCTGCCACAGGCAGGCAGAATGCCTTGCGGTGCTGACTCCATCTCTCTGATCCTTGCTGTCGCCCACGTGGGAATGTGAAGGAATTAAATGCAGGAAAACAGAACCTGAAACTGGACCCTGAAACTCTGGCCTCCCCTCTCCAAAGCCTGACCCTGTCTTTTATTTGTTGCTGTGCGTTTACCTGTTCTTTGGATTATACAATGTGTAGTTGTAATTTAGGTCAAAGTGCTCTTCATTCCAGCGCTGTGCTGTGCCCCCCGCCTTAAAGCCCTACGTCCACGTCGCCTAGTGTGTGTAAGTTCTCTAAACCATTTTAAGGAAAATCTGAGTCATTCACTCAAAAATGAATTTATTCATCCACTTATTCACCCAGTGCTTGCTCCATGCCAGGCATTGGGGATAAAATAGTCTAAACCCATAAAGACTGAAATATTAAATAATAAGATCGTGCCAGTTACCAACTAGGACTCAGTTTTAAGTTTGCTGAATGGAATGAGGGCCACATCTATGCCAGCTTTTCAATGTTTATAGTAGAGATGGTGGGATGTGTTTTCTTTATGTGAAAGATATCATTCGACTGAGTAATGCATACTTTCAACAATAGGAGATTTTCCTAAACCCCACAGAAATCATGTTAGTTTTTTAAAAGAATCCAAGATTTTAACTTTTCCTAAGAAAAGAAGAGTATGCCAAGTATATAATGAAAAGCATATTCATTGGACAATACCGTTTTTTGTTATTAAATAGCATTTGTTATTTTCTGGTTATAAAAGCAATATGGTCATTTGAATATTTTTTTAAGAGCATACTATATTGACATTATTTTTAGATATTGAGATAATTCCCAATTTTTATACCTTTGTAAATAGAGCTATAATAAATATTGAGTCACGTAAATCTGTGTTATTCACTTAACTTATTATTTCCTTAGGCTAGTGACCACAAAGTGGAATAAATGTCCTGGTCAAAGAGTATGAGAGATTTTTTGACTCGTGATAAGCACTTCCACGTTACTTTGGGAAAAGACTGTATAGCTTTACCCTGCTACCAATATGAGTTACTTGAGCAACCCAGAGCCACTTTTTCTTGAACAGGTGGAAAGGCTTTCCTGTTTTCCTAGGGGTAGAGCTGAGGGGGTCAGCCCAGCTGCCTCCTTAGGACTGAATGAAGTTGGATTGAAGAACGTTTTTACACTTTAAACAACAAACAGTGAAGTGAAACTTGCAGTTCTTTTATTTTAGTTTCTTCTAATTAAGCTTAATTTTGATAAGTTTCTGTATAAGGAGCCCGCAAGGACCTGGGAGCAGCCCTGGTTGCAGAAAGTCTGGGCTGCCCTTCCAGGCATGCCTGGCTCTGCGCCTCCTCCTCTGGGCTGCCATAGCCCCACTCTGACACATTTGTCTTTCTTAAACTCATTTTCTTGCAACAAAAAAATCATCAAAAGATTTAAAACAAAAGTGTGTACCTCAATCAGATTTTTTTAAAAAGAAATTAAAAAGCATTGTATCTTCTGTTAAATATTTATGTAGCAGGCTATTGATGTCTTCATTTAAATCTGTCTTTTGAGATGCAAATTGGACATGGTTCGAGGTAGGGGAGGGGTAGACTCTCCCAGGAAAACGCTCAAGTGCGAGGTTCTTTCTGAACAGGCGTCTTATTGTTTTCCTCCAGGAAGCCTGGATGTGCTATTTGTTAATGGAATTTTTATTTGACTTTGTAAAATTCTAAAATAGCCTCTTGGGATATTTAGGGATTTTTTTCTTGAAGGGGTTTTATAAAGATTTTATCATGTAGGAAATTGCAGAGTTATATGGTTCCATTAAATCTATTTGTTAAGCAAACTTGCGGACATGTTGTCTGTCTTATGATAAAATAAAGGATCGTATAGCAAGCAGGTCTTGTGTATAGAGATTTGAATAGCAGGTGTTCTATTTCTTTAATGTATGTGCTCATCTAAAACATTCAGAAATACTTATTCTTAAAGGTAGAGGGTCTTGGTGTTGTTTGTTTGTGTTTTCCTCCCCAGAGTACCTTGGCGTTTGGGATAGTGTTCTTTCAGAAAATGTTCTTTAATTTTTTTACATCAGAGACCGTGGATATTTAATTTACGTTTCAGTAAAGCTGTCAGTTGTAATCTGCAACTTAAAAAAACTCATAAAACAAATCCTCATTTCACAATTTAAACCTTATTGAGTCTAATTCGCCAGCGCTGCAAGTTTATTATTCTCCTGCAGTTTGACGGGCCTCCAATTGTAATTGTGTTGACCCTTCAATGCATTAACTCTCCCCAGTGCTTATCAAACTGGGGGAGATAAGTCTGCAGTTCGGAGCTTCATTAAATATCTCATTTATATTAAACAGACGATAGCTTCTAACAAATAATAATTTGTTCAGGCAGTGGCACCGCCACAGTTGTGGTTTCATCTTCTTGGAATGTGCCATCTTCTGTCTTCTCTCCCACTCTGCTGTGTTGTGCTGCCGCACCCCCCCCCCCCCCCCCCCAGCCCTCTGTGCCTCTGGCTGCAAGCCAGCACACAGGCACGCAAGACATTCGTCCATGGGGTTAACCCCAGAGCCCGCGTTGGGAGGATTGTAGTTAAGTGTGCTTCGTTCCTCCTTGAAGCGGATTTGTTTCAAGGCCTTACTAACATAGGTCCTTATTTGTATTATTTTCATGAAGAATATGAGTAATAATGCACAGCTGTTTTAAAGAATGCCACATACTATTTTAATTCATTGCGATAGAAATTGTCCAGTATTCTTAGCTTATTTAGTAGATTGCGTATGTTTATGAAATATGCATCTTTGCCTGCCTCATTAGAATATCGGTCCTTACTTCTGTATTGTTTGTGTGCTGTTAAAGTGCTTCTCTCAGTTACTCACTGTCTCATACTTAGGATTAGAATAAGAGAATAGGATGCTTATTCCTAATTTCCAGCAGAAGAACTTTAAGCTTGGTCTATTGTTCAAGACACATGAGCTGACAAGTGATCTTTAGGTCTTATGGAACAGGTCGTAGTTACACCAGCACACACACACGTGTGCTAATTGTTAGGTATATTTATATACGATAGGCATAAAAAATACAGCTAAGTTGCAGCTTCCATCCTGATAAAGCATGCCTTGTGCAGAGCAACATCTCATAAAGAATTCTGAATTAAACCATAACTTAAATTGACTTAAGCAGATGCTAACAGTCAAATTGAAAAACTAAGCAACAAGATAAGTTTGAAAAAAAATAAGCTTTTAATATACATATTTTTCCTCCAGTGGTTAAAATCTGACAGAACTTCGTGGGAGGCACAGTGTAAAGAGGCCAGAAAGTTGGTCATTAGGCAGAGCTGTCATCACAAATTATTTTGGTACAGGGTGAAAAGTTCTAGTTCATTTGGTACCCAGTTGGATACAGGCCTTGGGCGAGTTGTTATAATTCCCTCATGCTGCTAATGGGCCTCCAGCACTGATTTTCCCTCGTTCCCCCTTTCCCCATAGCTAAAGTCACCTGGGAGCCCCTCTGGACCTGAGCTGCCCATTGAAACGGTGTTGGACGATAGAGAACGAAGAATTTCCCATTCCCTCTACAGTGGCATTGAGGGGCTTGATGAATCACCCACCAGAAATGCCGCACTCAGTAGGATAATGGGTGAGTCAGGTAAAACTCTGTTTATCCCGTCTTATTTTTATGCTTTCACTGGTTCACTGAGAGGTTGTTAATGTAATATTAATGTAAAGGAAGCCCATGTTTTCAAGAGGAAAAAGAGCAAGTTCATTACAATCATTCAGGAAGTGTTAATGTGGAGAGAGTAAATCAATACATTGATTTTGTTAAGTGAGTTTTAGATTGTGTAACATGGGGGAAGAGAAAAAAAAAGGAAGGGATCGCGTAGAAATGTTTTCCAGTGTTCAAGATATTCTTAGGTTGTTTGAGATAGTGAGTGAAGCTGTGTTTTTAAAAAGTCAAATTTAGTGGTTTATGGCAAGAAGGGTTCAAAAGTTACCATCGTTTGCAGTAGCACAGTTTGGAGGGAGAGGAAGAAATGTATGTAGACATATATATACCTGTGTATGGCGGAGTCACGTTTGTTGGGTTTGTGCTTAATAGATGTTACCATATTTTAATTGCATCTCTACTTTTTCAAATCCCACGTTTTAAAATCCTGAAAGTAGTTTTTTGCATCCTTTGTCTGGATTCAACACCATCCAGTCTGCATGGCCCCCAGTGGGTAATGAGGTCATTAGCACTTGCCTGGTGGCAGCTCAGCTTCCGCTAACAGATCTTGTTAATAAAGACTTGCTTTGCTGCGGGAGTGGTTGGGTTTACTGAGTTGCTCATCTTGGGATTAGCTTGTGAGAGTTTTCAAATTTAAAACATAAGAAGTTGTTCTGATTAAAATAGCACCTGACATAGAACGCTTTTGTGGCTGGTATGTTTTGTAAGTCTCAAATATGAAATAAAACCCTAAATTTCACTCCATTTTGAGTACATTTAATGCGGATTTAGTACAATTCAAGTTTCCATTGTGAAGCTTCATTGGAACAAGAATTTATTTCGTTCATCATTGGAGGTTTATGGAAAGCCTGCTGTTGGCAAGACCTGGTGTATATGCCTTTACTGTAGATAGAAAAATGAGTGAGAAACAATCTCTGCCTCCAGAGAACTTTCCACTGGATGTGATAGGAAAAATACAGAAACATGGCTAGTAGAATTTTCTGTTCTTCTAATCATTCTAGCTTTCTAGTTCGGAAAAATTGCTAAATTCTCAATTTTTTATTTTACACATACAACTTAGATGTGCCAGCTCTCAGGTTTTGCTTTGTCAACCTCTTTCTTTCTGTGTGCTTGGCATAGGTGAAAGTAGGGGAAGGTTGCTAAAGATGTCGTACACTTGTTGGGTGACAGGCATTGTACATAGTTTGTCACATGAATCTTTGCTTATTAATGATCCCTGGCTTCACTGCTCTTGGATTTTCCATACTTTCTTGGTTTTGGTGTAAAAGCTTATCTTTGTTAAATGCTTTTTTTATTGATAAAAATTCAGACCCCTTGAGAGAGAGCGTGCATGTGTCCCTGGATCTGTGTGCATACAAAGTGATATGCTGTAATTTCCCCTCTATTATAGGAACATAGGACTTGCCATACTGAATCACACCATTGGTTCACCAGCTCCTGTAACCTGCATCCTGCCTCCAATCCCTGATGCTTCAGAGGAAGGCGAAAAACTAAAACTAAAAAAAAAAACAAAAAACCCCCAGAATTCACCTAGTGACCTTTTTGAAATGCTGTATATATGGATTGAGAATTTCTTCGTTTTCTTCATAGTCTATTGCCCTGATTTTGTTAGCTCTGGCTTTATTAGTCCTCATAAGTTTGCATTATAGTTGCATTGTCTTCCCTTCCTCCTGCTAGAGATGTAATGGACTTTTGAAACTCCAGATGCTTCCCCCAGGGCAGTGCCTTTCCTCTAGCTTTGTGCTTTGAGATGTGCTGTGCATGCCCTTTTGGGCTTGGAGGTGACAGACTCTTTACCCTTTGATGGTAGGCCACATTGATATTGAATGATTTGGATATTTTTTTAAGACAGTTTTTTATGTGTTGTACTGGAAACTAGGGATCCCATATAGTTTTATCCTGAGAAATGTATATGCTTAATTTGATTTATCTATAGAGTTTTGCAAATTTGAGAATTCCTCTGTCTTTGTCAGTCCCTGTTCCGGTATCATTGGCCCTAAGAAACAAATATTGTTTAAGTCAGTTCCCACTTAAAGTTAGAAATCCTGCGAAAGATATTAGCTTGCAATGAAATACCAAACAAGGTACCAAATGTAAAATATTAGAGCACTGAATTTCTATTGACCTAACCCAATAGCAATAGTATTTACTGATTTGCACAGTATCGAGGTGCATGGAACCTTCTGAGACAGATCTTGTTGGTTAATGGTTATCTTCTAGGTGTTTGGAATAAGTCCTGTGTAGACACTCATGGAGATGGTGGTATTTACTTTACGATCTGCTATGATTCAAAAATAATTTTGTATTGGAATTCCAGCTGATTACATTAAGAAATTATTAATTTTATGCAGGTAGGATGAATTTTCACATAGAATATTCCTCATGTCAGACTCCAGACCAATGGGAGCTTTGAGGCTTTCTGATTCATTTCTGTGGGAACACGTTCCAGGAGAGAGCTTCTAAAAAATAGACCAAAAAGCAAGAGATGTTGGAGTTGGAAGGATGTCAGATGTCATCAGCCACACTTTCCCGCTTAACAGATAAAGGAACAAAGTCCCAAGATCCCGTGATGATTTTTGTTTCATGTTGTTCTTGGCTATTTCCTGTTTCTAAAAATAGTGTTCTCTGGGGAATACTGAGATCACACAGTAAGTGTTAATTAGTGACATTTATTCTTTATTAACACCCATTTATAAATATCCACATTCCATTCTGGCAACCACTGTGCTCTAAAAATCACAGAAGTGGACCTTTGAAACAAACTTACAGATCGTATACTCCAACCTACTCATCTTCTGGTCAGGGGAATTAAGGACCAAAGAAATTAAGTGACAAGTCTGAAGCTGCAAAGTTTCTGTGTTTCTGAACCAAAATGACGATGTATATTTTTCTGAGTCATGGGTCCCACATTACTCAACTGATTGATCTTGGCTTACGCTGGGGTCAGCCAGAGTTGTGAGCAAAGGCAAGATTTCTCCAAATGTCATCTGTATTGGCTGACTTTACGCTATTGTGGATTTTAAAAAGAGTAATCCTGGACAGTCATCAAAAAGAAAGCTGTAGGGAGCCTACATAGGATTGCTTCCTTTTAAAAGCCTTAAAAATATTCTACAAATTGCTGACTGTCTTAACTAATAATAATAACAATAATAATAATAGGCATAGCTAATTTAACCAACATGTTCTCATCATAAAATACATCACAAGTTGACATTTGAGAGCATGGAGCCTTAAATTTTTTCCAGGTTTTTTATCTGAAGAATTTTTCTGTTTAAAGCAAAACCAAAACGCGTTATATCCATTTCAGAATTTAATCTCAATAGTTCCTATGTTCATACATTTGTGGTGAGTTTAAAAAGTGAGTATGTTCAGAATACTTTCATCTTGTTAGAAATTCAACAGAAAAGTAGAACATTAATGTTTTATTGTGAGCCAAATCACTGGCAGAATTTTCCTCATTTCATCCTTTTCTAGTGTCTTGCATGGTGTTGCCTTCTGTGTAAATGTACCAATGAATAAATGTTTAGCAAACAATCATTCTGTATGTCGTTGTTTCACTTCTCCACAGGATACTGACTGGTTTAAATCTTAGTTTGTAGTTGTTGGTTAACTAGTTGGGGAAAGAGGACAGTTTATTCATCAAAAAATGGATCAAAGACTTTTCAAGTCACCCTTGGAGGTTTCACGTTTATGACATGCCATGTTACCAGTAAACGTAATTAAGGGGTATTGTCTAGGTTGACTTTGGTATAATATGTAGTTTGATTATTTAATAGTCCATTACCCCCAATATATTCCTGGGGCCAGATCCCAAAACTGTATTCCTGGCAAGCATATTAAGAAGTGGAAAACTGATGGAAAATATGAACTCTTAAATCTTTTGAAATATTAGCCTGCATGATCTTGGGTGAAAGAAAAATGCTAAATTGTTGTCATACTATTTAGGGAAATTTCTTGCCATCTATTTATGTGTAAAGTTTTGGATCACTTAAAGTAAATATTTCTACTCAAAACAATGTATTATAAAAAAGGATTGTCATATGAACAACCGTTCAGTGTTCCTTGTTGCTTATTAGGCTGTCTCTCAGAATATATTGTGTAAATCCAAGAGTTTTTGTTTTTGTGTTTAAAAATGAGTGCCCAATCGTTACACTATAATATTCCCTTCCAATAAATTTTGTGTGTGCGAGGATTTGGCATTGAACGCTGTGACACGTGACTTGTCAGTGGAGAGCTCTTATTGGGGATGACCCTGGTTTGTCTTTCTGTACACTTTTGGCGGGGGGGGAAAAGCATGTCCTGAGAAAGAAATGTTTTTTGGGGGGTAATAGTGCTCGAATGTCTGACCTTATTTATGAGTACTGTTTTATTGAACAGATTTCTATCTTTCCATACTAATATCCTAAAACTTGAGTAGGAATAAACAAGTGATTTGAATTCAGGAAAGGGAAACGATTAAGTATTAAATTTGATGTACATTTTTATCGTGAGCATTCATAAAAAGTTACTAGTTTTCAGTTTGTCAAAATGGATGCATTTCAAATCAAAATATAGTGATTTTCTTGATAAAATGCTGAGCAGAGGTTTCAGTGAGCATGTAGTATTTCTGTAATAGAACAGTTGATGCTAAATAATAAATGCATTTGAAACTTTTAGCAAGTTTACTTTTGTGGGTTGTCCTGAAAAGATTTATAACAACTTAATTTTTGCTCCTTTGTTGAAATGTGTGGAGTAACATATATTTTAAAAATTCTTTCAAACCTATATATGCCATCCCCAAATTTCCACAATACTGGTAAAATAAAAATTATCATTTATACATTCTGATGAATTTAAAAATAATTTAAAATTAGATCTTAAAACTGATATTACAGTGTTAATAAACTCCCTACCATTGCAGTTGTGTTATTTTAAAAAATTGTATGTAATAAAGGAAAGTATACCCCATGCACAATGGTGGCGGTATTGGTATTGGGAAGGCACAGCAATCCTTTTTATTCGGAACCAGGATAGCCAGCTTAATAGATTTGGACACTGAGCTTAAAATGAGAGTCCCTCTATCCTCCTGTAAGGTGACAGGGAGCGTGTCAGTTCTCCTCCGTGGGTGGGAGAGGCAGGCCAGTGGGCCTGCATCAGACAGTGTGCATGTTTCTGTAAGTGTGGCCTCTCACAAGGAATCCATGGGGACCAAAGCCTTGTCCACAAGTGCTTGCTCAGAAGAAGTATAGCACAAGATTTGTGAGGAAGCCAGAAGAAGTGTAGCCATTTTGGGGAAGAAGATGGCATCCTTTGGCCTCCAGCCCTTTTCTTAAAGATTGAGGGCCTTGAGGCATAATTTTTATCTCAAGAAAGATTGTCAAATATGAACACCTGTCATGCTGATCTGTGAACCTGAGCAGATTTTCCTGAAAGAAACTGATCAGTGTAGACAGTTGTGGGTCTTTCCTTAACAAAAACACTATGTCCTGATTGAATAAGTCAAAATTTACGGGCTCCCCCGTCATGGCCTGAAAACCTCTGGGGAGACAGATACTAATCTTTTCTCTTCATAATCATGCCTGCTGTCTCCCCCTAGGCCTTGATTCTGGGCGTGCTCATCTTTGAAATGTCACCCAAATGCACCGTGGGCTTTTCTCCATCATACGTTTAATAATGTGTTACCAGTGTCTAAAATCAATGTCATCATTTCTTCTAGCAGAACAGACCATATTCATCATTCAAAACCCAACTCTGATGTTAACTTTTGTTAAGATCCCGGCATCCTCTGCCTTCAGCTACCCAGGCAATTACCAGCATTCGTGAATGCCATCACTCACATCACCAACCAATTATCACTTTTTGTATGTCTATCTCCTTCACAAGGATGGGGGCTCTTTAAGGGCAGAGATGGTCTTTCTTGTAGTACCTGCCACATGATAAGAGCCCCATGAATGAATGGGTGAATGATTAGTGTAAGTCTGCAGGACTTCCCTCCAAATATCCTGGTAAAATTTTTCGAAGGACTTTAACAACTTAGAATCCATGTAGCATTTTCATGTTAGAAGACATTTTGGGGATCATCTCTGGCTTTAGGGAACATAAAACCAGAGAAATTGCATACTGTGCCCATAGCTACATAGCTGTAGTCTGAGAGGTGGGAAGAGACTTGAGGTCTCCAGTTGACAATCATTTATGAAAAATAAATTTGCTTAATTCTATTTTTGTTCTCCCAGGTTGAGCAGATGCTTAGAATTTTAGACTTTTTCTAGTGTAGTAAAGTATGAACATTAATACACGTAACCCTTAGATGGATGTCTAGAATTTCTCTTTCTCTTTTTTTCACTGGACAGGTAAATACCAGCTGTCCCCCACAGTGAATATGCCCCAAGATGACACTGTCATCATAGAAGATGACAGGTTGCCAGTGCTTCCTCCACATCTCTCTGACCAGTCATCTTCCAGCTCCCATGACGACGTGGGGTTCGTGACGACAGAGACTGGCACGTGGGCTAAGGCTGTGGTCACTGATTCTGCGGACTGGTAAGAGTGCGCTCCAGGGTAGCAAACATGAGTTAATTGCACTCACACTTTACGTTTAAATGGTCTATCACTGAGCACAGTTAATTTTTTATAGCAGTGTGTTTTCATGGTTTTTGTACTCTTTAATTATCACTCTTTTAATAGAAGATTCCCCTCAACCCCATAGACTTACCCAATTGTTTTAGCCTTTCCAGTGTGTAGTTAATAATTTAGCCAAAACAACAACAAAACTATCACTAACCGAAAAACCCTACTCAATTGTCAAGTTTTATTATTATTTTACATCTGTGTTACTTTGATGAATTGTTTTTCTATTAAATAAGTGAATTCTAAACTGATCCCTAAGGTGAGGGAGAGTTTGTAACAATTCAGTGACTTCGGCCAAATTGATGGTTGCTACGGTCTGGGAGTGGAGGCAGCTGGGTAAAGGTCTTTTTAGAGTGCTGTAACCATACTATTTAAAAGGCTATGTACTTGCTTCTAACATCATGGCTTTGGGGGCAGTCTGATGGTCTTTTTTCTGCTGTATCTTTCAAAATAGAAGAAAGCCTTTGCTATTATTGAGCCAATGTGTAGCGCTTGAATGTAATTTGCATGCCTAATAATTATGTACATCAATAAGCAGAAGAAAAATCTTTCCTAGGGGAGACCTTGTAAGGTTGTAGTGATAATTAGCACAAACCATGTGAGCGTTATACCAGAATTTCGTTATTGCCCTTTCTCTGGGGTGTTTTATGAATACATCAGCAAAATTATCTTTAAATGTTATTTGTAGCATTGTTATTTGTTACAACAAATGTTATTTGTTAAATGGCATTGTTCCTTCACCCCTTAACCATTTCTATTTCCTACTCTTCTCCAGACTTCCGTCAACAGGGATGGGCATTTCTTCGTGTTAACATTTTAGTGATGATCTTAACAAAGTAAACCCACTGCCCAGTCCTCTTTCCCCACTCCTCACACGGACACACAAAAATACAACACATTTATCTTTCTGCAGGTGTTCTCTTGGAATAATCTCACTGTTTGGGGGCTCAAGGAAAGTCCATCTCTGTTTTCTCCTTCTTTTCTTTTTAATTGTTTTCTTGAAAACACAAGACTTAAAAGCAGAGCTACGCTTAAGCCTGTGTGGTAGTGAGCTTATCTTTGAATGAGTTTTTTGGTTCAGCGTAGAGGAGGAGACCAAATATAATGAAAATCCACGTGAAATCCACAGATGCTGTTACATTCACTGCTGCAGTTTCTCTCTCTTTCTGAAAGTGAAAGCAACACAGAGAAAGTAAGGATTCAGTCTCTGCAGGATTCCTCGCAGGGACAGAAGCCTTTGACTCTCCACCGTGATGAGAATTGTGAAGGTGGTCATAGGAGGAGACCTGTTTGGGGCTTTCTCGAGTGCTGTAGTGGTGGAAATAAATGAATAAATAGTAGGGATAGATTGTGGCATTAATTTCCCTAAGGGGATTCATAAAATGGTGAGGACTTGTGTGATCTTGCTGCGGGGGTTGGGGGGCAAGGAAAAGAATATGAATGAAGGGTTATCTAAACAAGAGTAGCAGCTGTTCCAAATCACAGCAGAAAATGTAAGCTTTTCCAGGCTGACAATATCTCCCTAATCCTTGATGAAAATGTTATGAAAACAAAAGGGCAATAAGATGGGATTAATAACTGGAATTTTAATAACGCTGGGGGTCAGGATATGGTTACATTCTTTAAAGAATCGGCTGTCAGTCCTGCACTCTAACTTGTTGAATATTCCAGTGGACTGTTTATTGTGCCTGAAATTACTTTAATGGGGATATTGATAGGGAAGAATTAATTATGTCATGGTTTAAGAATATTTCGTTAAGACTCTTATTAACTCACAAACTCATTTGACATTTTAAGTTGTGTATGTTTGCAGTTCACTGCACAATTGTAGAAGGCTAAATATGTCAAATGGCTCAACTTTCAATTTGTTAACTAATAGAATATACTTTTTTCAATCATTAATTAATTTAGGGAACATTAACAATGTTTTTAAGGGGAAAAACTGCAAAACAGTAGATTCTAATCTTAGTGACAATGTAATTTCAGAAGATAAAATTAGTTTCAAAAATATGCCAATATATGGTTTTCAGGTAACATTAGCAGCAGCAATTTACATTTCTTTGACAAATCTTTTACCAATAATTTCTTTTAAAATATGTGCTTCAAATTCATTCTCGCCAGTCACCTGTGCTTTCCCAGAGTTCAGGATTTGAGGTATTCTGTGATCCCAAAAAAGAGTTGATGAGCGTGTGCAGGTGGTTGAAGTGATCAACTTTCAACAGTTAAAAGAATTATTCTTGGGGCTGGCCCCATGGCTGAGTGGTTAAGTTCGTGCGCTCCGCTGCAGGTGGCCCAGTGTTTCGTCGGTTCAAATCCTGGGCGCAGACACGGCACTGCTCATCAAACCACGCTGAGGCAGTGTCCCACATGCCACAACTAGAAGGACCCACAACGAAGAATATACAACTAGGTACTGGGGGGCTTTGGGGAGAAAAAGGAAAAAAAAAAACAAATTCTTTAAAAAAAAAGAATTATTCTTACTGAAAATATATGTTTAGAGTTTGATGCTGCAAAATTGGGTCATATTCTCATCATATGGGTTTTAATTTTTCACTTCTAGGACTGTTTTTGCATTGAGGGGTATGTGCTCTGGAAATTATAAGCATAGTAGTATGTGAATACTGCTATGTGAGTATAGTCTACAAGCATATATATTTAAGCAATTTATAATTATATATGCTATATATGCACATATATATATATTATCTATATATACATAGTATCTAAGCACAGTAATATGTGAAGGGACACCCAAGGCTTCAAGACAAATATGACCCTGTTTCTTCTTGGAACATCTTATGTATTTAAAGTTTTGCAGAAGAATTATAATATATTAAAAATGAAAAGATTTCGTGTGGAATGCACACAAAATAACATTTATTAGGACATAATATAGTGTTTTACAAAAAGAAAAATGTATTCTTGCCTTGGGCTAACCTCCCGTCCCTGTGGGGTGCATCTTCTATTTTCTCAGTATGGGCCAGGACTAGGCTGAGGCAAGCTGGGCGCCCAGGGTGTGGAATGTAAGGAGGCGCTCACTCTCAGGTTTCCACCCTGAACCTACGTGACCCTGAGAGTGGGCGATTCTTCAGATTCGCTAGGCACTGGCCTTGCCTCACCCTAGGGGCCCTGCTCCATGTTTTGTGGAAAAATTGAGAAGGGTGGTTCCTCTCCTTTGCGTGGTTTTTGAGGACCGTGTTTCCATGGTCATAATTTGTGTTACTTTGGTAATTTGCGATAGAAAGTCTTTGTTGGGTCATAGTTTGTTTTGCATAGTGGTTTGCAGTTTAGAAAGAGCTTTCCCCTTGTGTCAGTGAATTCTCTCCCTGGCCTCGTGAGATGGGTGCGGTTCTTGTCTGTATTGCGCATGTTAAGACACCTGGGCCAAAACATTTCAGGTCACTTAAGTTGATGGCAGAGCATTTTCCTTGATGTCTCGTTTTCACACTTTTTGGTTTAGCTCTTTACAAGCCAACTATCATTTCATGTGTGGTAAATTGCAGCTAAATTTCTGATGATACAAACCACATCACTATCCTTTTACCAGTGTGGATGGTAATTCTCATAAGGCCATGAAGGGTTAGAGAAGCTTGCTTCCATCAGAAGCATAAGGAAGGCTGTCGTAAACTCAGCTGACGTCGTGGAAGCAGCCCCCTCACGTTCTAATGTGTTTAGTTAGCTGTGGAGGGACATTCTCGTACCTGGCCTGATAGATAAGGTGGCTCCGCCTTGATGAAAGAGAGCTCTTTATTTACTCAATGTGCCCAGCACAGAGCAAACCCCTGTCCATTGTCTGGACCATGCTCGGAATGCCTGGTAGTGCTTTTTAAACTATTCACAGGTTTTTACAAATGGGAGTGATTCCATGTCTCCCCTGCCACATCCTCTGGGAAGACACTTCCAGCTGTATCCTGTTACCGATGATTTGCCACATGCTTCATCATCTCTGCTTGAGCCACTGTGTTGGTGTCACCCAAACCAAATGTCATCTAGCCTTAGTCATGCTTTTCCTGACTCCCTTGGGTACTGTTTATTCTCTCCTCCGTGCATCCACCGCATCTGCTTTCTCCTTCTGGTTTAGGAGTTCTCCTAGGAACTCATGGAGAACAGTGATCTTTTCTTGTTTATCATTTTGACGTTGGTACCCAGCACAATACCGTAATCAAAACAGGTGCTAATAAAGATTTGTTGAATTGATTTCTTCTCACTTAAGGAGTGCAGAGAAACTACAGCCTCATGATACTACATGGCAGAAAGGTGTTCTTTTTTTCTTTTCTCAAACATAAGATAAAGAATGTATAAGAAAACCAGAACATATCCTTTTTAAAACTTCTATTCAATCACAATTCATGTAGTCACTTGTCTGCTGCCAATATTTGTGTTAATATTTGAAAGATTTCCTCAAATATTGAATCCTTCCAATGTCTAAAAGATATCCGGCTTATTTTTGATAATCACTTAGAAATAATGATGTATTGTCAAATAGAGTGAGGAATGTGAGAGAGGAAAAGAGAGGAGGAGAGAACTCACATGGAGAAAGAATTACTCTAAGTGTAAATTCACGTTGTATTTTCCCATCATCCCAACAGGCACAGCTTTTTTTAATGGACTCTATTTGTATTATTTAGTTTAAATATTTCTGAGGAATATACATATACACACATTCATACACACAGGTATATATGAACTTTCCTAAATTGTAAGTCTTCTATTTTTTGTAAATATTTTTTTGTTTATCTTTCTCTTCCCACCAGCTCTTTGAGTCCAGATGTTGATCCTGTCCTTGCTTTTCAACGAGAAGGATTTGGACGCCAGAGTATGTCAGAAAAACGCACAAAGCAATTTTCAGATGCCAGTCAATTGGATTTCGTTAAAACGCGAAAATCAAAAAGCATGGATTTAGGTAGTGAGTACAATCTCCATGAATCTTTATCTAAATAAGATTTAGATACTCTCAGATTAAAATTGATGGTCCCAAACACATGTCTGTTTACTTTGAGCAATAGAGAAAATAAATGTGAAATGTGACAATTTGGCAAAAATTAGTTTTTCTCTGAGTTTGAGATAACCATGTTTCTCATAAGTGACATGTTTACATAATGTGCAATATGTTAATATATATGTTTTCTGATGAGAAAAGAAACAAACACATGTGCATATCATGCTATATTCATGTATCTTTATTTGAAAAAATAAAATGTCTTAACACTTTAGCTGTTTGAAACCAACTGCATTGAAATAGTATTTGGTTGGCTGTGGGATTCTTGAACTAGAAGAAAAAGTTTTGGAGAGAAATCATTATCTCAATCCATGTGTAGAATCTGGTTACTTCATGTTATTTTCCTTTCACTGCTATTCTTTAAAATTTATTTAATGGAAACTCTTATATGTTGATAATTAAGGAATTTCATGGAAGTAATAATTTGAGAGAATATTTACTGTAGAAAGTATTTGGAAGCAAATGAGAGGAGGAAAAAAACCATAGTTGTTCAATCAAACGCCAATCAGGTAGTGTCTCTTTTTAAATCCAAATCCACCAAAAACCAAAATAAAAAGTAAAATAATTAATTATATCTATAAACTGATCAAATGATTTAAAAAACCTTTGTTAATCAACTACAACTTAATTATGCTGTTCTCTGGTGGCTGTTTATACTTCAAGACTAAAAGCATTAATTTATCATATGCATAAAAGAAAAATTTGGCGATGCATTGCCTTGTCTAATTGTGTTATGCTAACATATAAATAACACACGTGTCTATGAAATGAAGCGACCAGCATATTGCATGGAGACACTGCTTTTCCCCCTTTTTTTTGATTATGAATGTTTGCTTGATGTTTCATATTATTTGCATGAAATATTACTTAAGAATTATCACCTAACTGAGAAGATCTGGGAATGGTTGAAGCATGTTGGGCTGTGGGGACTAACTGGGCTAACCATATACATTTACCTTTTAACAGTAGCTGACGAGACTAAACTCAATACAGTGGATGACCAGAAAGCAGGTAAGAATGGACAGTTAGACTGTTGCCATAGAAACTGTGGGCCAGGGAGCTTATCCTAATTATAGAGCTGCCAATCATATTGCATGTAAACGTAAATATTCCAGTCCTGCAGGGATGTTTTCATTGCAGGAAATCAAACTGTACAAGAAAAGGAAAATTTTCTGTTAGAAGAAGTTTATCAGTAGAGTACATACTAAATGGAAATATAATTTAATGCTTCAAAATGCTAAAACAACATAGATTTTCTTAATTCTATTTGTGTAGGAATGTTTTGTCACAATTAAAAAAAAAGTCAAAATCCTGAAAACGTGATCTCTTTTGGTAGACTCTTAAGTTTTTAAGTCGTCTCTATTTGACGCCTTGGTTGACATCCACAAAATGACTCTCAAAGTGGTGATTTTGATTTGAAGGATAATAGCACAAGTATGAATATTTCTCACTGGAGAACAGCGTCCAGGATTGCTCTCATCAGTCACTCAGAAAACCTTAGTTCTTTTTCGAATGCAAGAGTTGGCTCATAGTTACCTGAGATCGAACTAGCCTGTCTAATGCACATGTCTCCTTATCTTCACTCTGTGAACCTTTTTAAAAGGGTTTTTTTCCCTCCCATAGAAACAATGGTGTACATTGAACTAGGTTTTGCATGAGAGTAGTTTTATGTTTTACGAAAATAATCAACGGAAAGTCTTTGTGTATAATTAAAGGAATGTACTTTGTACAATTGAGCATTTAGGATTTATTATTGTAAGTTTGGAATAGTGTTTTAATTATTCTAGATCCAATACAATGTAGTTACACCACTTAGTACTAATTAGCTTCAATTCGCCTTTTCAACCTGTAGTAGTAATTAGTTTTAGCCTGCTTGAAAAATGTGTATCCCACATACATATGTAAAGAATAAGGTGGACATGGTTGGAGTTGTCACATGCTGTAGAGTAAAAGATGGATTGTAAAAATTATGTCCAATAAATCATAGCGTTAACTGTAGTGCAGGGCAATTAACAATAGCCTCAGCCCTTATTAAGTAGTTATTTCTCTTATCAAACATAAAATTCATTGGAATTCTGAAACAGGGCTAAAGAAAAACATTATTTGATAGTTCACATGTGAATTAGTAATTAGTTCTTGTAGTTAATAGTGTTCTGTACTTTTTCTCTTTTTTTTTTCCTTTGAGGAAGATTGGCCCTGAGTTAACATCTGTGCCAATCTTCCTCTATTTTGTATGTGGGACACTGCCCAGCACAACTTGATGAGTGGTATGTAGGTCCATGCCTGGGATCCAAACCTGTGAACCCCAGGCCGCCACGAAAGCACAGTGCACGAACTTAACCGCTGCGCCACAGGCCGGCCCCAGTATTGAGTACTTTTAAGGAAGTCAGCCCTCCAAGTTAACATTTGTAAAATCCATGCTGAACTGTTCGGGTTAAGGAACATGACTTTATGTGCTATGCCAATTAGGCAAAGCAAGGAGAATATTTAATTTAACCAGCTCACTACTACTAAAAGGAGAACAATTTATTATGATTTAAAAAAATCATGTGATATCCAAATTTTAACAGAAAACAACTTTCATGATGAGAGGCAAATTTTATAATATAATTGAATCACTTGTTTTTATAGTGTTTTAAAGTATTACATCCTAGATAAAAAGAGGACCTTTGGAGGCTGGCCTGGTAGCATAGTGGCTAAGTTCTCGCACTCCACTTTGGCAACCTGTGGTTCGCAGATTTGGATCCTGCGCATGGACTAGCACGGCTCGTCAAGCCTACCTGGGTGGTGACCCACATATAGTAGAGGGACATTGGCACAGATATTGGCTCAGGGCCAGTCTTCCTTCCCCCACCCATCAAAAGAGCATTTTCTTTTTCAATGCGTATGCTCTATCCTACAGAATTAAATCGGAAAAACTTGGGACAAAAAATTATTAGAGATGCCAAAGTACTTTTTGGTCAATTGACTTTAAATCTATGTGAATAAAATATCTAAACTAGATTCTCTCTATCCTCCAGTATTAGCCAGTGAACAGATATTTAGTTATTTTTCTTTCTTCACTTAACTTGAATTGTTAAGATTATCATGATTTGACAGTGTAGGACAAAGCGTTTTGGTAGCATCGTGGTGGCATTTTAGCACAGATCATGTCTGGCCATAAGCCTTTCATAATGAAAATTAAATTCCATTTCCCTTTGTCCTTGCAAGAGACATCCTCTACTTTCTTTTGGTGAGAGGGGTGTTAGTAGGGAGGAGTAGAAAAACAGACATGATTTCCCCCTTGATTCCTGGATTTAGAGATCTTGTGTGATATTTTGGGGGTAAATTTACTTTCTGAAAGAAAAGAGAGAACAGGAATGAGAAGAGAATTGGTTTCTAACAGTTTAATTCTTGAATATAAAAAATAAGCAAAGTAGCCTAATGCCCTAACAGATTTATATAAAGAGCTTTAAAATATTATTTTAGAATTAAAAGACATTAATTTTTTGTGTAAATAAAAATTAATCTTTTCCTCATCGTTTACATAGAGAAAGACTTTTTCTATATTCATTCCTAGTAAATGCTAAGTTTATAATGTTGGGGAACTCAGTACCCCTCATTTGAGAATCTTAATATATTTCTTAACAAAACCTTTGTTAGAGTTTCTTTAACAAATATAATACTTAAATGTACGATATCCAGGAGTGAGCAAGGTGTTTCTGTAAAGGGCCAGACAGTGAATGTTGTAGCCCTTGCGGGTCGCGCAGTCCTGTAGCAGTGGCTTCATTCTGATGCAGTGAGAAACAGCCATAGAATATGGGTAACCAGGTGGGCATGGCTGGCTTCCAATAAAATTTTCCAAATTTGACCTGTCGTTTGCTGATGCATGTTATTGATTCACAAATTATGGATGCTGATTTTTTGCATAACTTTTTATTATGAAAATTTTCAACCATACATAAATGTAGAAAGAGTAGTTCATTGCCTTCCCAAATACCCAACACTCACCATTGATAATTATCAACATTTTGCCAAAATGTCACACTACAGTGTTATGAATTTAGAGAAAAGAGTAGATGGGTAAGCTCTGAATTACACTTACAAAACATCTATTGCTTATTTACTGATACTTTCATCATTGTTTTTCTTCCCAGATTTGCCTGTGTTTGTGTATTTTAATAAATACATATACATATATACATAGATAAATATTTATATACATATATTCATATACATTTATTTTAAGAAATACTCATGCTGTTTCTGAAATTCATTATTAAAGTTTTTGTGCTCTGAGTACATTAAGTCAAATCTCAGCTAACTTTTCATAAAGAAAAGCTGAATGTACATAAATGATAATCTTTACTGGACACATGAAATCTCTGTTAGAGACAGAGACAGAGGTAGATATACACACATAATGCATAGGTACATATGCATGTCCTTTGTGAGTCCAAGAAAGCACCGAATATTTGCCTTATAAATGTTTCTAGAACCAGATGGAGCTGGGAAGTTATAAAAATTGATAGGCATGATTTATTCAGGAAAAGATCTTCCCGCTACTAATTCTAGGAAATATAAATGTCCCTGCACAGGAATGATCTTTTCCCATTCTTTATGATTCCTTGATTTCTTACCGTTTTTTTAGTTATTTAAAACAAAATTCATTTTCCTTCCTGTAACATGACTTTTATGGGTATCTAGAACGTGACCTTGTCAAAAATTGTAGTAGTATTGAGAGAAAAAATGATTGATCATCCTGGAAGAGATGTTTCATGTGAATTTTTTTCATAAAATAAATAAATATATACAAACCTGCATTGAGAAAGTTAAATAAATCATCTTTTTCTTCCAAGCACAATAATTTATGGGGTATTATTTCTTCATTAGAATCATCTGTCTGCCTTTCTCCCTATGTTACATTTTTAACATATTTATTCTAACTTAAAACTGCTACCCCATGGTGAAAATTAGGTGAAAGACGTAAATGAATCTTAAAAAGGTAATTCTTGTTTTGACTCTCTCAGTTTAGTTTTTATTCTGTTTTATACTCTGAGGCATAGAAAGCCCATGTCATAACTGTATGTCTTTTAGGTGATAACACAAGGCCCCTCCTTAATTATTGATCAACGTATGGGCTGAGGTCCCCATGTAGAGATACACTATCTAGGCCTGCCACCCCTCCCAGTTTTTGTGCCTGTCCTTTAACAGTAGAAGGGAAGCACTGGTTCTGTAACCTGGACTGCCCAGGTGGTGAGGCAGAGCTGGGGTTTCCGTCACCTGGAGGCTGCATTAGTCTGCCTCTGAGTGCCAGGTCAGACAGTGGTGGGCAAGGCTGTCTTAGCTCGTTAAAGAAATCCGTTTTGATTGCCTTCTAAAGCTCGGTACTCTGAGTATATCTCAGGCCTTCCTGCCCTAGATCCTCAAGAAATAGAGGCAACTTTTTGATTCCCTGAATTCTCCCCTGCCATCCTACTGGATTTTTCTTGGTAATTCTTAAGTTGTCTTCTTTCTCTTCACACTTGTTTCTCAAGCAGGTGTTACTCCCAGGCCCAGAGACAGAAGTACTTATATTCAGCTCTTTAGTTTCTCCTCCTTTCCTTCTCTCTAGAGAGAGCCCTCATGTAATTTGTTTCTGTTCCGATTTTGTATTGCTCTTTCCATAGAATGTTCGTGTTCTGCACAGTGAGGTTTCTGCCTGGAGCCAGGGTGCCCTGATTGCCCTGGTGACACTTGTCTTTCATGTTCTCTCCTCGCTGAGTTGTGGGAACCTGCGTTACAATGAGGAAGAGATGATGCAACTCATGTATATGAAAGTTTAACTTCTGTTGTCAAGAATTTTTAACTGCTGAAAAGTGATTTCAATTAAATGAGCTTCTGTGTTCTTTTAGATTATTTACATAACTTGGAGCAAATGATTTCACAAAAATTTCATCTGTTGAGCTAAAAATGGAAACTAGTAATGTGGGGCTTTTCCTAATGAAAATAGAGAAAATAAACCACATTTAATATAAATTTGGGAAAAATAAAAATTAGTTACTATTGCTTTATTTACTTTTTATACCGTTTCCATCCACATTCCAGAACTCATCATTGAGTGAATAATTTCTCTATGTCCCTGATGTTTTCCTTAATTCGTAGGTATTCAAGTATGTACTTTTCACCACTAGTTCTAACTTCTGCTTTTGTAAACCTCCTAGGTTCCCCCAGCAGAGATGTGGGACCCTCCCTGGGTCTGAAGAAGTCAAGCTCCTTAGAGAGTCTGCAGACAGCAGTCGCTGAGGTGACTTTGAATGGGGATATCCCTTTCCATCGCCCCCGGCCACGGATAATCAGGGGCAGGGGATGCAATGAAAGCTTCAGAGCTGCCATTGACAAGTCTTACGATAAACCTTCGGTAGACGACGATGATGAAGGCATGGAGACGTGTAAGTTCATAACGTCTGCAAGAGTAGCAGTTACGAACAGCTCTACGAAGCAGCAGCGATTCAAGTGTGCTGCAGGGAACCCTGAGCGTTCCCACACGCCTCGCAGGGAGCTGTGAGGTCTCAACTGTTTTCATAATAATGATAATGTGTTATTTATCTTTTTACTCTCAGTCTCTTACGAGTATACAGTGGGGTTTTCTAGAGGCAACATGTCATGTGATATTGCAATAGATTGAATGCAGAGCAGATAGAAGAATCTGTCTTTTTAGCCAGGTATTAAAGAAATTTGCTAAAATGTAAAACACTGCTATCATTCTCACTAATTTTTTTTAGAAAATACACTTATTTTTTGTAAAAATATGATTTCTAACATGAAATTTGTGTTTATAAAGTAATTAATATTCTAATTAATCTAATTACTTAATTAAATTGATCAAATTTAATTGAATTTGATTTTCTGTTTTAATTCAGTAAATATTGATAGATATAATCCACATAAAAAATTTACTTTGAGTCCTTAACAGTTTTAGGAGCGTGAAGGCATTCTGAGACCAAAATATTTGAAAACTACTCCTGTGTAGTTGTGTCTATAATGTGATGTCTCCAATGAATATATGTAATAATCTATGTTTTTGAAAACATTTTTTATTTGTTTTTATGAATTACTCTTACTTTGCTTGAACTCAGCTAGCAGACATGTTTGTGTATGTGTGTGTATTTCCAAATTGCAAAAACTTTTAAGCCAAGATTATTGAAAGTCGAAGGTTAGTATTGATGAACAATATGTTTCCTATTGTATATTGAGAAGAAAAGTAACATTTATAAATACGTACAAATGTGCGCCTCAGGAAGTTCTCTTTAGTTAAACATGTGTGGTATAAAAATAACCATTCAATTTAAAAATAAGGAAAATACCCTGCTAGTGTATGTACTTAGAAGAGAAAGGGCTTAGGAGCCCTAATGGTGAAACTTGTTGATTAGCTTTCGTTGTTTGCCACTACTAGTAGACAGTTTAGTTTTTTAACTTCAATTGTGACTCTGTCCATCTAACCAGTATAAGAAAACTTGGAGGCCCCACAGCCCAGTGTTAAAGCAGAGACCAAAGATAATTTAAGTGGATTCCAAATTACTTGCAATTTAATTTTTGGGTGGATTGCTTCTGGAATTTAACTTTTGGGTGGACACAGCTGACAAAGACTGGTGGGGAAGAAGGATTTTAAATGAAAATCACATTCTGAGGAGATTAAAAGCTGAGTTATATAATTTTTGCCTGTCGTATATAAAGTGTTTGTGAAAAATGAATATTTCTGCCATAATGGAACATACAAAGCAAAACTTAGGGAGAGATTTGCTACCCGCCCCCAATTCTCTGTCTAAATCTGGACAGTTTTTTCACTCCATCTAGCCAGTGATTTCAAATATATGCAGCCTATTCTTGCCAGATGAAGAACATATTTCCTATTTTTGCTGCCAAGCCTGGTCTCCAAGATCCTGAGTCATATGAGCTTTCAACCTCCTTGAGTTTTTCCCATTCTATCAGTGGTTCCTTCCATCCTAACCAGGATTCCTCATGCAGCCCTGATAGGGTGGGAGCCCTGTCACTTACAGATCTTGCCTCTTTCTGTCCTAGTGCATATTTAATAAGAGATATAGTACTTTGGCCCCTCAATATTTGTTTTTTTAAGCATCTACAATTTATGATGCTTCTGAACTTTTTTCTTGTTCTAGTTAAAACATTATTTAAATTGCCTTATAAAATGGAGTTTTTTCACATATGTCACTCATTTCAAATGCAACAGGGGATGGAATTACATATCAATACGAGGCATGTTCTTAACTCTATAGGGACAGCCTCCAGAGTTTTCCACCAATGTGGACATCTAAATTTGCCTCTGTATAAGCTTATTCCCTTTTTAAATCGCAAATAACAGATTTAAGTATATTAAAACTTTTTCATTCAGCTGTCATCAAGACAAAAAGCACAAGTGAATAGGCAAATTACAGTTTGTGAACCAAAGGTAAAGTTCTGGACAAGAGCTGGCAAAGACACTGTGACACGTGCACCTACAACACAAAGTGCCGTGTTTTCCAAAGTACTGATTTTATTATTTTTTTCAGACAGGTCTGCTGAACTTTGGATATGGCAAAAGAGAGGCACCTATTGTACATTTCAAGTTTTTGCAGTTTGAGTGGTTGAAGTACGAATAGAGTGGAGTGAGCACTGAACTGGAATTCAGATGGCTTGCATGCTAGTCCACATTCTTCTAACCAATTTGGGATTTTGGCCAAACCCGTTAAAATCCTTGAGCTTTAATTTCCTCATTTGTAAAACTGAAGATTTGGCCATCTAGGTCATTAATTTTCAAATCGTGATTGTGACATCTGTGAGAAGGGGTTTTGGGGGAGTCAGGAAGCGAATGGGAGGCTGAGCAAGTGGGACTCTGCACAGGCCACCAGCTTCTCCCCTCACCTTGCTGTCACCACTCCACTGCCTCAACAACTGTGGGTTTTTAAATCACTTTTACGACATCATGGTTCTTTGTAAATTTTAATTTTAAAAAAGAGTAGTTTACAGTTTTTCGGAAAACGTTTGAAAAGTGTGGTTTAGACGGTGTAAATCATTTCTGAGGTCCTTTGTAGTTTTAACATTCCATGATTCTCTGTACCCGTTCACTACTGATCTGATCCCTTGCTGCCAGCTTCTCTCCCCTTCTGTAAGATCCATGAAGGAAGACACCACCATGTCTGTTTGATTCCTGTATAACTAAGCACAGGGCGTGGCATGTCATAGGATTCAATGAATATTCATTACATCAGTAGGTGAGCTCCTGCTTAACTAGCACCAAGGGGTGTGTGAGAGAGACTTTTAGTATGCGGTAAGTCAGGTGGAAGTGGCATTTTGCTCTTCCTCTTTGTATCCCACACTGGACCTGCATGCACTAGATTTTCAATGCCTCAGCAAACTCTTTATTTTTCTAAAAAAACAAAAAAGTCTGTCAAGACTGCTGTTACTGCTGGTGGTCATTAGACTGTCACCTTTACATATGCCTAGCTACAAGAAGATGTGTTATGGCTCCAGTCGTGAGAAGGAAGGCCAGCTCAGCTAGCTTTTCCTTGTCATTGCCGAAACACCATCGCTTTCAGAGTCTGACCTGTGGATTCTCATGGCGTGGTCCACACGCTTTCTGTTGCTGTGGCTTCCCAGATGCATTCTTGTTTCTGGCTGTGCTCCTGCATCCTTGCCTTTGTGGGCACTGTCTCTTGCTGTGTGTCTAGCGTCCTGTCACTGTCCATGCTCTGTGGGACTCTGTGACAGAGGGTGCTTTCTTGTATTGTGGAAGGGCTCGGTTACAGCCACTGGTTGAAATGAAAATGCCATGTCTCTGTGGAACCTGGCTCTCAAAAGAGGCCCACTGTCTGAGCAGACAAGCTTTTGGTTATACAGGACAGCCTATAGAGTGCACTCTGGAAATATTGGGGTGGAGAGTGGGCTGTTGTTGAAAAGTTGCGAAGGAGAGAGCTGAGGCCACGTGGTAAGGACAGAGGGTTCCCCGTACTGCTCCAGTCTCCTGCTTTCTGCTCTCACATGGTCCTCTTCCTCTTTACAAGTAAGACACTTAGGCACAGGCATGGTTGATTGCTCTTGTCAGTTGGGTCGAGCACCTCCCCAGTGACTGTATTTCATGACTCCAAGCAGACTCGCCTCTTCTCACAGTGTTGAAATCATGGCATGGGCACAACGGTGGGGCCAAAAGGCTGGGCTGGATCCATGTGGTATCTGGTATCTGTCATCTTCTGTAACACTTACGTTCCTCCTGCAGAGATGGCAGAAGCCAGCGTTTTTGTCTCTCATTTAATCCATCTGGACTCTCTGTGTTGTGTGTGTCTGTCTGGATCAAGATGGAGCTTTGTATTCTGGGACCCATTATCTCCGAGGCCCTACCTGTGTTTGACAGGTCAGGGCATCTACAATCTGCTCCCTCTTCTATGCAAATTACGTACCCTGCCTGGCTCTCAGCAAGAAGCTTCTACCTCCCCCATAATAAATCAGTTTCTGTTGCTACCAAGAAAATGCATGCAATAATATTGCTTTGTTTTCTTTTTGAAAAATATATAATCCTATTTTTCTCAATTAAAAGTTGTCAAATTGTAAGCCTTACTATCAATTGAGTAACCGCTTTTTGTTGGGGTCGAAGAGGTAAAGCACAACAAAATCAAATACTGTCCTATTAATTGTGCTTGTTGATTTTAAGATATATCCAGTTTAGAATTTTAAATGTAAAAACATAGAGACAAATTGCTTTTGAGTAGCTTTCCTACTTTTTTATAGTGCTCTTATCAGGAGATAAGGAAAAAGATTACTCTAAAGTACGTATAACTTAAATTAGCAGTTTGAGATTTAAAGAAACTAAATTTATATTAGTAAATTATCTAATAAGAGCGATTCTTGGGGAAGATTTTGCTTTTTTTTAATTAGCTAGAAAATAGCATAGTGCATTTGATATCTTAGATTTCCTACACTCAGCATTCTGCACACTTCTAGCCACGTTTCATAACTACTTTTGAGCAGAAATAATGCCAACTAGGTCTAATTTTATCTTAAGCAAAACCCATTAGATTACAGCAAATCTACTGTAAAAGAATTCAGGATATGGGTTTCAAAATCACAGTACTTTGTAAAAGATTTCCTATTTGGTTAATCTATTTTAATGGATAATTGGGTGTTGATCTATAAAAATATTTGTTTTGAAATGCTAGGAATAACCCATCCTTTTATGCCAATTTGTATACTTAAATGTCACGTGTAGTTTAAGAAAAGGAGCTTTGATTAATTTTAGGAAGTTTCTGAATGCAGTATGGGTGTAAGCATGTGAAGTAGCCAAAGCTATTCCTTACATCTTTTTTTCTAGGTGAAAAGTAACTTAAGCCAAAACTACGATGAAAAGTCACGTCTGAAGTGTTTGAATTGTAGAATCCTCATTTTAACCTTTTTTTTAAGA